TGGGAAAATGTGGCAAAGCAATCCAATTGATTTATATAATTATATTTATTAGAACATACTTCTGGCATCTATGAAATTCAAATGATGTATTAATAAAGCTGACAAATGTGCGCTCTATTTAATTAACAATAGTTTGTCCCACAACTACATTCCAAAAAAAAAAAAAAAAAACAAAAACAAAAAAAAATAAAAAATAAAAAAACAATATGATTCTGTACGACAATTTTGTTTTTCTTTTTTTTTGGGTTTTTACCAGCTTGAGTGCAGTGGTAGAGCAGGTTTGGCACTCACAAATAAAATACGAAAAAACCCCTAAGAGGCAGAAATTTAGAAAAAAAAAAATAAGTTTAGAACATTGACATATCTAACTTAGTGCCTTTTTTGTAATATTAAAAAAAAAAAGATTTAATTTAAAAAATAAAGAATTTCTTTGGAGTTCCCCAGAATAAATTTAGAATAAAAAAGAGACAAAGCGCTCTACCTAGAGTAATTAATGCTTGACGTAGATATTTTATTTATTTTTTTTTTTTATGACGCATCTTAAGCGTTAATCAGCTTTGAAAAGTCTCGAAATCTGCAACCAATACTAGCACAGCAGCCGCTTAGTGGTAGTGGTGAGGCACTTTGGTAGTAGTGGGCGCTTCCGTTGCAAACCTTTCCGAGCCTCCACGCAGACAAGCGCAAACCCCTAACCAATACCAATGCACAGCAGCTGAGGCGAGCTTTTTGAGCATGATAGAGAGAGAGAGAGCGTGGCGCGCACGCGCTCTCCGCCACAAAAAGCTCTTTCGCTTATGACGGACTTGGCGCTTGGAGCTTGGCGCGTTTTCAGTTTCGTTTTGACACAAAAACTCTTTGGGGGTATAAAAGTGCGCCACTGACCACAGACAGCATCCAGTCAAAGGTTTGGAATCGTGTGTGATTCTACAAGTCCTTACAACACTGTTTTTCAAGCGTTGCTCGTAAGTGTTGGCAAACGCACTAAGTTATTTTTGCCGCCAGTTATTTGTGCTAAATATATTTATTATTTTTTGAAAATATGCAAACCAAATTTAAAGTTTTCATTCCAAATTGTGTTCAAGTAAAAACTATATTTAAAAAACAAAACAAAAAGAATTAAAGCAAACTAATTTCAAAAGTATTTGCAAAGTGTCTAAAGTTTAGTTTCAACTTTAAAAAGATTAACTAATTAATATGTATTATTTTCTATTATTTATTTGCAGCCTTGGCGAGTCCCAACACACTTCACAATGAAAGTATTCGTAAGTACACAATCAAACACATTTTATTCTAACAATTATGTGCAAATAATGTGGTTCAGAATTATAAAAGCAAAAGAATTGTTTCAATTCTAAGTAATTCATTTCAATGTGGGAATTGTGGCATTGTTTATCAACTCCCACATAGATTAGCGCGCTAACATTGCTAAATATGATCATATTTATGAGCTCTGTCTGTCTTTGCCTTTCGGTGCTTGACCGCAACTCCGTTTCATTGACTTCCTGTTTACAAATTGCACAATCTCACATATGTTGGCCAAAACACCAGCGCTAAACGACAAACTTCAACTTGAAACAAATGCGGCTAATCACACAAATGATAAATGCTCATAATGCGAAATTGTTTTCCATTTTGCTATTGGCCACTGCAATCAAACTGAGCTAACAAATAATATGAGTTGACCGCACAGGCACAACTTAGCGGTAAATGCATATGGTTTGCGACTGCGCGCATGCGTGACGTATGTGTAAATATATATCCATACACATATCTGATTTTCTTGCCCCGCGCATTTTGTCATGCTCGCATTACGCATGCAACGCACACACGCGTTTCACTTGACCATTTGAAAGCGAACTATGGCCAAATAGTGGGCGTCATATATATCGCATAACTTTCTAATCTGATTACCTAACGCAAGTCGGCCCGGCCCCCATTGCATAATAATGCCAACAACTAGAACAAGTTGCGAATTACAATTGAATTGCAGTTGAATTTTGATACACTAGAACAAGTTGCGAATTACAATTGAATGTTATTTTCACTTGACTCTGAAGACGAGCCCCTTACGATTTTTAGTTTCACTTGGCCAACATTTACTGAACTTTGTTATTGTGCTCTACTTAGCCCGATTAGTGCTCATTCCGCCTTATTTACACTCTATTCTAGTTCTGCTTAGCCGCTCTTCTGGTGGCTTCCGCCTGTGCCACCGATGAGGTGCCATTGGAGAAGAAGCTGGACAAACGCGGCCTGCTCGATCTGGGCTATGGCTATGGTCATGCTGGTCTGGACGTTGGCCACATCGGTCAAGGCTCCCTTGTCAGTGGCAGCAGCTATGGCATTAGCTCCATTGGACACTCCGGTCCAGCTGCCATCGCTGTGGGACCCAGTGCTGGAGGCATCTCTTATGGCCACAGTGCACCCGCTGTTGCCGTTCACTCGCATGCCGTGCCTGCTCCCTATGTGATCAGCAAACAGGCTGAGGTCCAGAAGACCATCGTTGTGACCAAGGGCGTGCCCGTGCCCGTTCATGTTGATCGTCCCTACCCCGTTGTGCATGAGAAGCGCGTGCCAGTTGAGGTTAAGGTGCCCGTGCCACAGCCCTATGAGGTGATCCGCAAGGTTGCCGTTCCCGTCAAGGAGTACGTGAAGGTACCCGTTCCAGTGCCACAGCCCTACGAAGTTATCCGCCACGAGAAGGTGCCCATCCATGTGCCCGTCGATCGTCCAGTGCCCGTTGAGGTGCCCAAGCCCTACCCCGTGCCCGTCGAGAAGCCATACCCCGTCTACGTCGAGAAGATCCAGAAGGTGCCCGTCCATGTGCCCGTCGATCGCCCCTACCCCGTCTACGTTAAGGTGCCCCATGTGTCGCACTCCGTGGTGAAGCACGCACCCACCTATGCCATCAGCAAATACCCCATCACCGGCTATGGCCCAGGCAGCGGAATCGGTGCCAGCGTTTACGCCGATCATTCCGGCTACCACAAGTAGAGCGGTTGCGAATTCTATTCGGGGCTAGGCCAAGGACTTACCACAAAAATATGAGCCGAATTAAATTTAGTAACAATTTTTTTAATTCTGTCCAAATGAAGAGAAAAGAAAACATGAAACAACAAAATAACACTCACACACGGTCTCTGCGCTCCCCCCAAAATAATTTCCAAGAGGTTCTAGTAGAACTTCCACCCTGCCACTCTATTAGATCTTAAGTAAAAAAAAAAAAAACAAACACACACACACCACGCCCCCAAGAAAGAACAACAAAAGCCTTTTGTAAATTATTTCCCAAAAACCATCAAACGGAGCATTGTTATGTTTGAACTAACAGCTTAGGATAAATTCCAGCTAATTGTTTATAAAAGCATTACAAAAGTTTATAATCAATTTAGCTGCTGTTGTTTATCAGTAGAAGGTTTCGACGTACAATGAAATGATATATGTAAAAAAAAAAAAAAGCAAATGATGTAAAAATGTTTTTAAGAAATAAAATTGTATAAAATAATTTAAATTGTTCATTTCTATTTTATGCAAATATTTTTCTTAAAGCAAAAAAAAATTGTAGGGTTAACAAAAACAAAGAATAATAATATTGTTCTTTCGAAGCTTTATGCCAAATTTCATGACTTTTTTTTTTTTTTAAATTTATGTTTGTTAAACATCTTATTTCAATTTAAATTAAAATATCATACAAGCTGCTCCCCATTATCAAATTTTTAATAATTTTATAAAAAAAGCCAACAATACAGTAAACTCCAAAATAGTAGGATTGTGTAAAATTTAAATGGCATATTACATAAAAAAATATTTTAGAAAAAATTTAATTATTTCTTTTAATTTACTTATGAGCGCCAATACTTTTTTCCTTTTTATGTAAAACAATATAATCAAATTTTGTGCATGAAAAGACTTGTTAAATTAAAGTCAAGCTCTGTTCAAGGTTGTCCAATAATTTCCTGTTTTATAACCAATACCTTTAAATTTTATCCTCTAGCTCATTCTTTTTCCAAAGCTTGCTTTCAAATAAATTAAACATTTTCTAAATCGGAAGGTATTAAGTTATATTTATATTGACATCCAAGTTGATGATTTAGCTGACATTTAAAGTATATGACAAATAAATATTAATGAGCCTTGATTGATAGATCATAAAAAAGTATTTAAAGCATCCTCACGACAAATTGATACCGAATTTTTAGCGCTGACCCAGTTTTTAGTGAATACTGGAACTGCATGTCATTGTCACTGGATGGACTGTGCTGTGAGACGACGATCCATCATAAGTGATAAGGCCGACGCATGTCAAATCACATATTTAGATAGTCAGAGCGTAATACGCGATTCGGCTGACAAGAGACAAGACACAAGGCCGAAGTGCCAGGCGACTCTCGCTGAGTCCAGTTCAATTAAAGGTCAGAAGGCAAGAGCAGAAGCGACAGCTCTTAACGCTCATAAATTTAAATATATAACTACGAAACCAGAGCAGACGCTTGATATGGCCATTTATGGCCGGGTTTTTCCTCGCAAAATACCAAAAATTCAACTTTCAAAAGCAACTGCAACTGCCGAGTTCTAAGCCAGCGAAAGGCGACTTAAACAAACAGGCAACAACTCTTAATTGACCATTAGCAAAATACATAACAAAAGATGATATAAAATATACATACATATAAAAACAAAACAAATCTGTTTATTGCAATTTGATGAATTGAATCGCTTTAAACAAATTTGGAGCTATTTCTTTTTTATCTGATATATATATATATTTTTTTTGGCATTTTCCCCACTTGGGTTTTTCAAGAAACACACCTAATTAGAGCAGAAGCAGGAGGATGCTAGGGAGTGGGAGCCGTAAGATGCTCAACAATTTTGAAAACCGGCTCGGCTTTTTAATGGGCGTTATAAAACAAACACATGTGCATGGAAATAAATATAGCAGACGTTAAATTAGAGTGAAAAAAAACATATATATCAAACAATCTATGCTTTGATTTGGTTTTTGGTTTTAGCGCTCATCTAATGTACCGGGTCAAAGCCCCCGCGGCCGCCTCTTTGCATATGCCCAAGGACGTTGCTTACGGAACTAAAGCAAAACAACTTTCTAATAAAAAAGTCGAACGCGCCTCGCTTTTAATTTCTGACTTAATTTTCTTTCAAGTTTCTAAACAGAACAAAAAAAAAAAAAAAAAAAAAAAAAAAAAAAAAAAAAAAAAAAAAAAAAAAAAACAAAGACTAACAACAAAGATCGATCAAAGAGCGAGTTAGAAGAACCAGTTACAAGGCGCCTAAGAATTCTCAGCACAGCTGAAGGTCATCGACTTAGCAACGTATGGAAGGGGCGTGGCAGTTAACTTTGACTTCAGCTCGATTTAGCTGCTGCAGTCCGAAGCACCTACACATTTCATTGCCTCAACCATCATTTGTTACAAAAGCTCTTGAGCTGCGCCTGCCTCTCGTAGGTGTCTTTGGTCTTTAGTTTTTTTTTTTTTTTTTAAGAGTGCCACTTGCAATTGAAATTGTGTTTCAGTTTGGCTTTTGGATTGCGCAACTGCCATGCAATTACCAAGCGGATCTTTCAATGCAGCTTAATTGCCATAAAATCATTATTTTTGTAGGGTTTAATTATAACAAATTAAATAGCTCAAGAATGCAGCAGACTGTCATTAAATATGATTAACAACTGCAGCACATAAACTACTTTACCACAGACAGAGTAAGAATTATCAGAGTGATCTGGTTTAGGCATTGATGCAGAGGAATAGTAATTTTAAAGAGCAATCGGTCAGACTGGGAAGGTCTTTGAGAGTCTTTAAGCTCAATTGGATAATGTGTAAAGATTTATTTTCAATTGTGGTCAAAGATGGATAAAGTCTATTGTTGCGCCTTGAATTGCAGATAAGGTCAAAGCTAAAATTAATCAAATATATATGTATATGTGAGTCCTTATTGAGGCTTTAATTAATTTATATATAAGTATTTTTAAGTACATATCTGTATATACATATATATTTTTTTTGCATTTCATAACAAGTTTAGTCAAATTTTAATTATATTATATTTATAGGCTGCATTCAGATCATACATATGTCATTTAACCATATACTGACCCTTTTTTCAATATAAATAATATTCATTAATATAAAAGACTTTCGAGCTCAATTAATCAGCTAAATATTATTAAAATACAAAAATTGCTTTTTAATGCAAAATTCATCAATATTTCAAGTAGGGAAGGACGGACAGCTACACAGGAACTGTGCCTGATTATTCAGCCTCTCTCTCTCGCTCTCTCTCACACACTCTTTCGCATGGATGGCTGGTGATGGCTTTTACGCAATGGTCTTTCGCTCGCAGAGGCCAACCCAAACGAAAATTGAATGCGAAAGACAACGGAGAGCAGCGCAGACCACCAACAAATTGCGGCATTCAGTGGCCACGAAAAACTTTTGTTCGTGGCAATTAAAATCATATTTTTTTTTCTGCTTCTGCCAAAAATGGGAAGGGGGCGTGGGAGTAGGACGTACGCATATTTGATGCAAACTAATTAATTGCCACAAAATGACGACGACAAGGCGAATGAAAAACTCTGAATGTAATTTTTCGCAATATCAGCTGAATGTTGTTGTTATTTAATTTTTTGGTCTCTTGATTTCAATTTTGTAGTTCTTTTTTGTTTTTTGTTTTTTTTTTTTTTGTTTTTTTTTTT